TTTAGTCTCTTCCTTGTAGTCCCACCATTGGCCCATCATCAGCGCAACGCCTCAAGTATAGCGATGTTCCGTCAGAAGAAGAAGAAGGAGAAAGGGTAAGGGAGCAGACGAGAAGAGATAGAAAATGGACAGATCGAAAGAACAGCTGACAGAAACTGAATCAAAACTCAAGCAAAAGCCCCGTACACCTTGACGTCGATCAGCTGCAGAGCCTGGGTGTCCGCCGAAACCTTATGTATAACGACGTAGCGCCCGAGGATCATCGAAGGAAACGTGAAGTTGAGGCGGTAGTCGGCAGAGCTGTAGGGGCCGACGTAGATGGCGAGCAGCGGCCACGTGGAAAAGTCGTTGGTCGTTCCTCGTGTCATGCCGACGCGGAACTGTACGAAGATGCTTGTTATCATTACCTCGATAAAACTGATAACAATAATATTTAGGTGGCGTTGGTTAGATATTTGGATAGCTCAAAAAGTTATAAACATCTTTTATATATCAGAGATGAGTCTTAGCCTAACTTAGATGCCATTAAATTTTAGTGATCAGGACCCGGATCCAGGAATTTTTAGTAATTCTTCAACAGTGAATATTGTTCTTTAAAGGATTCATTAGCATTGCGATAGGGAAATAAGGACGTCACCAGTGTGCTTGAGAAAGAGGTGATTTGAATGTTCTTCGCACGACTATTTTTATTGCATCAGTGACGCTATTGCCTTGGCGGAGGTACGCGCTTTCTGAATGGTTCTAATTGGCATTATTGAATTTACAGGCGTTATTATTTCGGATATTGTAGCTACTGTTGTTACAGGTTTTACTTATACTGCTGTTATTATTATTGTAGCTATTGTTTTTATTATTACTGTTATGATGGTTATTTGTTGTTCACATCTTTAATGTTCTTACAATAAGAATGATAATGGTAATGATTGTCATCCTTCGCATTATCAAGGTTTTCATTACTATTTTCATTATCATTAGCCTACTATTGTTACTGTTACATTATCATTATCACTTTGATTATCATAGTATTCTAATTTTCAATTGTTTTCATTATTATGATCATACTCTTCATCACCATTACTATGATTATCTTTTTAAGATATTATCCTTCTTACCTGGCTCCTAGAAGTGAGTTGTCCCACCGTTCCCAAGAGATACAACCTATGGACCATATAAGCCACTGATACTGTAAGCTAACTAGTATTCTCATTTATATCGTAGTAATGCACATTTAACATCTTTCGAATGTGAACGTGGCACTCGCTACATTTGTTTTCATGTAATCTGTGCAAATTGACGGCTCCATCTGCGTCTCGAATAAAATATTGTGGAAATGGAGCAGAGGAATGGATCAGTTGATAAAGAAAGGGCACTCCAGTTTTCTTTAACACTACTGATGCAGAGTCACTAAAGGAAAGCAGTTACGCTAAACTAAATCTTTCCCTTTACATTCTGGTATATATCTAATAGCTTTCAAATGCATTGTTGGTTATGTCTATATGCGCTCCTTTGCCATTTATCAGTTGTAGCAAGTAATAAAATTTTGTAGACTCTAAATACAGTATTTACATTTGTATATTCTACTCATTCTACTCGGTTATTGTTATTCAATTATTCCTTACATTATGAATGTATAAGAACAGTTTAAAGACATTTTTAAACTACGTAAGGCGTCTCTAGACTTGTTCTGCTCTTCGGGAGAGTCATAAGCAAAATGTCGGTGTCAAAGGCATTTGCATGGATTCATAAACATAGATTATGGATTCAAAGACTCTTCTGGTTTCTTTCTTAACATGGTTATCTGAAAGTTCCCTTTATTAGGGCATGCATTTTTCAGAATAAGTGGTGGTGATGATGACAATTAATGTCTATTCCTGCATTAGTTTTAAAGAATCGTTTCGTTATTACAGGGACTCTGGCCAAGGGCGTGGTCGCGTTTTTAGTTGAAGGCACATGAAATTGTCAGGGAAGCTCAGTGTAAATGGCTGTGTGTTACTCTTCTTCTTCGTCGTTGTCCTTTCCTATTGCCGTTAATACTGAAATAATTACTTAGTACGATCTCAATCATTTGTGACACACATATAATCACTTTAACAAGTGTTCCTCTGATTATGGAGGAATCTTTTTTGCGAGTGCAATCTATAACTTTCATTTGGAAAACACCGTCATGAAATCGAATCGGTTAGGACCTGTTTAATAAAGTAAAGCGGAGAGAGATAGCCTATTTATCCTTCTATTACATTTTGTCACCATTTAGTTCATCCTAAATTATTTTAATGCAGGCAGAACGCGAAGAGTGCAAGTAAAGAACTCTTCCGCGAAAAAATAAAAGTCACTGTCTTATCAAGCACGTGCTACAATTATTCTTACCTCTCCCTTTCTGCTCCATTATACTAAATACAAAAACCTGGTAATATATGTGCTCTCTGCTATTCGCGATAACACACCATAATGTGATATGTTAATGTTCTATTCTCGGCCAACGGAGGTGACGTAATATCAT